CACAGAGCAGAGCTTTGCAACACTTCCTCTTCCCCTAGACATCACTGCAGACAGATCTCTGTTGCCCAAATCCTGACACTGGGATTAGCCTAAGAGACCAGATGAAGCACCTTGGCTTCTCATAAATCTCTGCTGAGAAGTGTGCCTCCTGTGCTTGCCTCCAGGAGGATGCTGGCTGAAGGCCCTTCACCCTGTGGATTGACCCCTCTGGTCCCTGGCTACCCCGATCCACAGGAGAATCCTGAAAGGGGGAAGGCTGCCAGGTACAGCCTTCCACGCTAGGCTGAGCAGAAAGGCAACCAGGTTTCCCAAGCAGTGTAAGAGATGACTAGGTATATATTTATACCAGATACCCACATACTTGAGGTGAATTGTGCAACATGAGATTTGTCATCATACATCAGATCACTGGTATATCTAATCCAATACCATGGCTCTGACAATGTCGGGAGAGCTGAGCTGCCTTGCAGTGATGCACCTCACCAACTGTGCAATGCGGAAACAGACGGATTAAAATTCCTACCTAGTTCCTCCAGCAATCAACTGGTAACCTGACTGCTCTTATTATCTGAGGAAGCAGAGCTGCAAATGTGAAGAATCACAAGACTAGGCAGCCTTCTAAAGTACAATTGCAGCATACATTTCTGGGCTGCCTCCTGGGCTGGATACATTTTGAGTGGGCTAATATTTCATGCTGATTTTGTCTTACACTCCCCTGTTAAATGATTCTTGGGCTAACTGCACCCTAGATATCTGCAGTGGAGAGTTGTTCCATCGCTGGAGGTGACCCATTGTCTTTTACACCACACCTAGCATTTTCTTTAATGCCTCCCATCATCTCCCCCTTCCTTGCATGCTTGATTTTTTTTGTTGTTATTGGTGGATTGTTTTTTCTCTGTTATTTCTACTGCAAGGTAATGAAGCCATTCTCCCGCTCTGGGTGTGCTGGCAGGCAGCTGCATTCTGTAATGGTGCTACTGCCTTTGTGTTCACAGCGCTGTCATCACCCCTTGATCAGCCTGGGAGTCAGTTACTTTTCTTGGCCGCTTTTGGCTTCTACCGTTCACAGAGCAAGACTCTCCCCTGAGCTGTCTGCAGCAGCTTTTGCAACACTCCCCTGAACATGTACAGATAACAGCAAACCCGTTGATGTGAGCAGTTATTGGACTGCTTCTTCCCAGCCTGCATAGCCCGAATCCCTGGTCTTGCTCTTTCCCCCTTGGCTGTCCCTCATTTTCATCTCTTCCTGTGGTGTCCTCCTCTCCTTACCTTGTAGTGAGTACGGGAATAGCTTTTAACTGTTCCTTCTGAGTATGGCTAACAAAGTGGTCTGTGCTAGCCATGCCTCTTTATATCAAGCACCTCATGTCTGGAGAACTGTTTATTTTCATTCCTTAGGAGCTCTCAGAAAAGTGGGGTTTGGCAGGGCTGTCCTCTGTGTATGGCCTCTGCTAGCTCCTGGTGTGATTTTGGGCAGCACTAGCATGTGGACCATTTATCTGGTCTGGCTGATATACTGTAGTCAAATGCCCTGAATTAGTCAGTTGTTGTCTACAGAAAATCCCTTCCTCTTTGTACTGTGACCTGAAGAAAAGGACCATGGAGTGGGAATCCTTCCTTTGCCCTGCAGTGGAGTCTCAGGCGTGGGGATCTTTTTGTATCTCTGCTTCTTCTCTTCCAAAGGCTTTTTATCCAGTGCAAGGACTCCTATGATTTGTCCCTGAAGTAGTCAGGGTCAGTTTTGGTCTTGACCCTTGTAAGACCTGATACCTAAAATCCCTGTAATGGCTATTGCAGGAGTGCCATGACTTTGTCATGTCTGTGTGGCATTGGGTCAGTGTCCCATCATGATGTGTGGAAGATGATCTTTGAGCAAACACCTGTCATATGACACAACCAATAGTGCCATTTGCTCTATCCTTTTCTGCTTCCCTCTGTTTTGTAATTGATTCATCTTTGTTGGCATCTTATTTTCTGTTTGGTGTATTCTGTCCTGCCAGTGCCCAGTGTAATTCCCTGCCTGCCCCTAATGTAACAGGACTCAGAAGATGGTGGTGGGGAGATACCAGGTGTGGAGCAGACTGCCTCATTCATCTTGGGATGTACTTCAGGGACTGCATTGACTAGGGTTGCCGGATGCCAGAGGACCCAGTGTTTTTTCCCAACTGTGAATTTGAGCACTGATCCTTTAAAAGCCCAAGTGGTTTTACTGGCAAACCAAACTGCCCAAAGTGTCCAGTAGCATTCATATCCTTGCTGAGTTCCTGATTACAACAGTTCATGGTGAGGCAGAGGTTGCTGGAAACTGTTGTTCAGAAAACGAGAACATTGCCTGTGGCCTGTCCCGGGCATCCCAACAAAGTTGGGATTATTTTGTTAGCCTGTAAGGCATCATTTTCTCACGTGTGACCTATACCATGCTAGAAACAGGGCACAGATACCAGACAAGCAGTGAGTGTGCTCCTGCAAAACTCCCTGGCTATCACCACCCAGTATTCTCACCTCAGCCACTAGCTCATGTCTCAGCTGCCAGCATTAGCCCATAGCCAGAGAAGCCCTGTCCCTAGTGCCTGACTGGTCTATGGTTACCCTGCACTTCTAGCAGTGCCAGGAGGATGAGGCACAGCAGGAGTCCTGGGACCTCCCGAGACCAAGACAAGTGTCCACTCGTCACACACCATGAGCCTCACACACTGCTGTGTGTGACGTCCATCTCTGGTAAAACTTCAGCTACTAAAGATTCATGTCATGGTTCTGGCTTTGATTAGCATGTGTCTTAGCTCTTCCTAAGGTGGCTTAATTGTTAAAAAAAAAATAAAATCCTTCCCAGATAATTCCCACTAGGCTTTACCTCACTTCATAGCTCACAGGATTGTGCCCCAAGTCTGCTGATATCTGACTGAGTTCTGGGCTTTGGACACTTTGCTCAAGCTCTAGAGCTGCTGATGTGTCTGATCAGACAACTATAGGGAGGCAACAACGGTACCAACTCAAGTGGCTCAGGCAAATATATCAGTGATTTTGCTCTGGGACTCATTTGTGCTAAGGGTTGGTCTAAGACATCATAAATCCTGCAGCATCTTAGGCACAAGCTTCTACACAGATGAGATTCTGTCAGAGTGAGAAAGTACATTTCCAGCTCTTGTGGGTGCAAAGCAAAGCCTGGCTCTGAGATTGAGTGTTACCATTGCCCACACTATCTGCTTGAGCTTGCAGAGAGCCTGAAACAGGAGTTCTGAAAATTGATCAACTTCCCCCTCCCCTCCAGACCATGAAATCTCATATACTGACAAGCTAAAGAACATGATAGTTCTGCATCATCTAAGAGGGGTGAGCTTTGATTCAGTAGAAGCAGCAAATGCTTCTGTTAACAAATATCTGAAACACTAATGAAAAAAAAAAATCCAAACAAAAAACAAAACCAAACAAAGCAAAACTCTTTAAAATAAAGGGAATCAGATTTTATTTTTATACCCTTAAAGTTAAAAATATGCATTTCAAAATATTTACAGTGACTATATATGAAATAACCTTTGTTAATGAAATGGCAACATACAGTACTAGAATATATCCACCAAACTGATAAAGTCTACATAAGAAGAAAATGTAACAGAAAAAGAGAGAAAGAGAGAGAGAAATAAGTCACATCTATGCACAATCTGCACCTGTGTGTTTTTTGATACTCTGCCTTTTAGTTGTGGATTGTGTCACAGAAAGTTTTGACTTCTTGTCCCTTATAAATGCCCCCTGTGACTGAGATTCTTCAAACTGACAGAAATTTGTGGGTTGCAGCAGTACCAATGTCTTAATTTCCCATGTCAGACTTTCACATGGGGACCTTGTATTACAGAGTGGACTCAAAATCTCTCAGCAACCCTAGGAGGTAAGTATAGATTTATGGAAGAATTTGGCAGATGGAAAAGCACCAGGTTAAGTGACTGGCCTAAGGTTGTGCAGGAAGGAGCAGAACTCACAAGCCCTGCCTCATCTCTCCTAATTTCTCATTAGGGAATGCATCTCCTCTGCTAACCAGTATCATCTACCTTTGAGATGAGCTGTGTCACAAGGTGGGAATCTGAATTAATACCCTGTTTGGGGTGATGATGTGGAAATAAAACCTGCCTGACAGATAAGAACCTGTCTCACTAAGGATATGTGATCCTGCAGTGCTGTTACCATGTTCTGGTGCTGGTTTAGTGTAGTGACACAGCCAGATGATTCCCTCTCTCCATATGCATCATTGAGCAATTGTATCCTCTGTAATTAGGAGCCCCTATGAATCTTCACCCCCATTTTCTCTCTCTCTCTCTCTCTCTCTCTCTCCATCATCCATGTCTGTGTATTTGCCCTTCCTACCTGTATCTGATTCAACCATGGGAATGTCAAAATAGTAAACCGAAGAGCAAAAAAAATGCTGCTTTATTTCTGTAGATATGTTAATATTAATTTAAACTGATTTCTATTGGGTGGCTTCTCAATTTAATGTATTTAACTTTCACTCATGTGCATATATATATATATAGAGAGAGAGATATATATAAAAATGTAACAAAAGGCCCATCCCATTTGTTTCAATGGACAAAAGAAGGGGTCACAAGCCTCACTTCCCAACCCATAAGGCACACCGAAAGGTAAGCGAGAAGGGCTCTAGGAAGGGAAAAAGATGTAGCCCTTTTCTGTGGTGCCCTTCAATCATCACTGCTGCGCTTGAAACTTTGTGAAGGTATGTATGACATGAGTTTGCAGAAAAGGAGAACAGCTGGGTCACTTGCAGATTTCTGGTGCAACAGCCCCAGGAGCGCTAGATCAGTTGGAGCTGTTTCCTCCCCCTCTTTGGTGAAGGAGTTTCGGAGGGTTCCAGCTTTGCTAGTGATTTTTCTGTGGTGGTGGCAGTGGTGATGATGGTGGCTGTTTCTGTCTATTGGTCCAACAGTTCTCTCAGCAGAGCAATTCTTCCCCATTCCCAGTAGCCAACCCTCTCCCCTGGACTCCCATCACCCTTATTTTTTCCTGAGAACGAAGTAGAGGATGCTGATGATGAAACTGAAGCAAAAGCAAATCCAGGCCAATATGAAGCAGTAGCCATGGTGAGAACTTGTGGCCTCTGCCACCCTGACTGTGAACCGAGCTGTGTAAATGGAGACTGCAATCAGAATGCAGATCCCTGTGAGAAGGAAGGAGGGAAAAAAAAAGAGAGTTGAAAAATGCATAGAAACCGGCATCACTGCAGGACTTCTGAAGTACCATTGTCCCCTGAGATCATAATGCATGTCTTGTGCCATATGAGAGAGGGGCTGTGCCCCGTAGGCTTATTTAGGGAGGATTTCTATTGCAGACTTGATATAAGACACTTAGGGCTTGTTTAGTGGGTGCCATGGGGAATAAACCTTTGTTAGGAGGAAATTAGTAATAAGGTCTGCAGACAGTTTGGTGCTATATGTAGGATCCCATGAGCAGTAGCTGTCTAACTGTTTATTCCCCTGCCCCCAAAAGTACTTGAATCTTTTTTGTTGTCTTTCAAAGGTATTTTGCAAAGCTCACTGGAGTTTTCTAATGAAAATCTGGTAATTTTTTTCATTATATACAGTAAAAAAAAAAACCAAAACAAACAAAACAAAAAACCACCAACTTTCCAATTCCTCAGTGCTGTGTTTTCCCAAAAAAACCAGGTCACTTGAAACTTTTAGCTGGCTGACAACTTCCCTTGATGGCCGTGTGTGGCAGACAAGTGCACTTGCAGAGGCAGTGGGATGCATGCAGAGCCATTAAAAGGCGAGCATACTTACAGCAAACCAGCATGAAGGCTCCAGTGATGTAGAAACGTTTCCCTTTCTCCAGGGTGAACAGCTGGACAATGAACATGACAAGTGCGATGACGGAGAAGATGATCGCTAGGATCATAAAAGCTTGCACGGTTTTAAGGGAAGCTGTGAATAGATTTGAGAAGGTCAGGACTCAGCCACGGTGTTATGCATAGACATTCTGGAAATCATCACCACAATGAAAATGCAGGTGTCACATACCCTCATCACTACTGTTGACTACCAGCCGCTCGCAGGTCTTGTTGCACAGTAGCCAGAGTCCCGATGAGGCTGTCCCTAAGTTGGAAGAACCCACCATCCAAACCTGAAACAGGACAGAACAGTTGTGTCAAGGTGGGGGCTGTCTTGCTCTTCTGGTCAATGGTCAGACTGAACTGTGAGAGGAGCACCAGTAGCCCAAGTGCCAGGAGACAGCCTTAAAAGCCAGCATGTGTCGGCAGAGGGTGGGAGATGACACAGGCTTCCAAAGCCAGGAGGGAAAATCACTCAGATAATCCTTTCCCTTCCGTAGGAGAGTGCTATGAGGCGAGCAACCAGCCAAGGCAGGTGCGAGGGTCCTCCAAAATCTACCTCAGCGGGGTGTGGGGAGACCCAGGACGCGCCGCTCCCGCCGAGCCGCCAGGGGTCAGCCTCGCCCCGGGTTTCCCCACGCCGGGGGGCCTGGCTGCCCACCTTTGCTTGGGCTTTCCATCAGGGGCAGCGCTGGGAGCCGCTTGTGGCGGGGCCCCCCCCCCCCCCCCGCGAGGGGTGGCTCCC